CTCAACTATTACCTGCATCCATTATGAATTAAATTGAAGCAGAAACCTGGGAAATTTAAGCGATATTATAACTCGAAAGCCCGGCTGAGTTTATGAGTTTAAATTTATAAAGAAAACGAAAACTGAGCGAAAATGAACTACGGCCCTAAGTCGGAAGTTTATATTTTCCTTGCTCAAATTGAAGCAACAACGTGGCCAACGTGGCGAAACAGGATCCGATCAAAATCAATCCTTTCTAGTTTAATTTTTGCACGGCATTTTGGGCAAATTTACACATAATTGCGGTTTCTTAATTACGGGTTACCCGGAAATTGAAGCCGAGTTTTCTAGGTGAACGCTAGCTTAAGTTCTGAGGTTCTTTGTTACATGAGGCCCGAAGTTACCGACAGGAACATGTGCAGGGAACGGTGGTTTTAATTGACGAAAATCCGAACTCTCGAAGTTTTTTAATGATTTGGCAATGGCAATTTAATACCCGACTTTATCCGGAATTTTGATGCTTAACTGATGAAATGAGCGCCAAATTATGCAGGAAGAAAATGTGAAAATGCGTAAAGTTCACAACAGCAATTTGGGTTTAAAACAGTTGTGGTTTGTACTGAAGCGAACAGTTGTGAAGTAAGTAATAGAGTTTGTTTGTTATGGTTCAGCTGAGCAAGTTTTGTGAACATGGTTAATGCATTAAATTGAAAACATTTTAATGGCCACAGGAAACTATGGAGTTTGTCTACATCGGTAGCAACCAAACCTGACCAACGTTGTCAGCAGCGTTGTGTTTGGATTAGGCAGTTTTTTTTAATTTTTTCAATCAAAGAATTGTTTGTGGGAATTCAGCAGCGTCTAGCTGCGTCTTGCGCTTACACCAGGTGGAAATTTCAGCATGGAGGTTGTACTGGTTTGGGAGTTATGAATTTTCTTTGAGAGTGTGCAATTTTTCACACAAGCTTCTTTCTGAGCTTAAAAGAAAAGATGTTACGCTTTTCCCGGAAGATTGGCAAATTTATTTCGAAGTCGGTTTGCACAGCACTATATCTTGTGTTAATATTGTGGAAACATTTCAAGTTGATTTTTCGACCAGTTTGCGAGCTGTGAATTTTTCTTTGAGGGTGTAAAATTTTTGACAATTTTTTGCTTCAGTCAACCATAGAAACTTGACAAAAATCAGCTGATACTCTGACCTGAGAAAAGTTCTTCTGTTTATATGATGAAGATTTAAAGTTGATAAGAGTATTCTTGCAGACCAAAGGTAACTGCACAAATCACTCACTGCTAATATCAAAGTAAAATTCCACATGTATGTCGCTATATTTTGCGTTTATATTATGGACAATTTTCAACTTGCTCATTTTTCTGATTAGAAAGTTGTGAATTTTTTAAAGCCTTGGAAAAAAGTGCAGTATGTCTGTGTAGACTCCGACCCAATGCGTCTCAAAAATCAATCGATGCTCATGTTCGATTCATATTCAGTTTCTGCTTTTCTGAATCTTGTGTTTAGTAGAAACTGTTGCTAACTAACAAGTTCGAGCGCATATTTTAAAATAAAATAATTGAACCCAGTTCAAAATCATCTTTATCATTTCCGTTGCTAGAAAAAAAAACAGAGACCTGGACAGATGTTAATAAGAGCAACAAACATGCTGTCATTAAAAATAAATATTCAACAATTCAAAACCAAACTGCATCGTTTTGACCGATTTTACACAGCATTCACACGCATCCAGTTGATGTTTCGGTGTTGTTATTCGGATGTCCGGAAACGTACGGAATAACTTATTTAATCACAAATGAACAACAGCGCTGTTTTTGTGCAAAACTGAGTTTATGTTGCAAATCATATGCCCGAATAACTGCACCATGACACACGTTTAATTGTAACGACCGTTCGGATATGCTGAGTTTAGTTCGCGATGGTCATGTTTTCATTTGTGCGCTAACTTGAAAAGGCTTCCAATTTGCAAAATAATGTCAAACCAACAGTGCCACATTTATTTGCCAATTTAGAGTTTCAAATTTGAATGTTTTTTATACCTACGCGAATGCTTAAATTAATTTCTATCGGAATAAGCGTATTGATGATGTTATAGAAAAACCGACAATGGACCAGCATTTTTCGAAAATTCCAAACTGCTTCATAGAATAGCTGAAATATTTGGATTAACTCAGATTTAATGTAGTCAACACAAAGCAATTTCACAGTGCAAATTATGCACTAATTTATATTTCTAAGATAAAAGCAAAAGTTTGCAAACGAAACAAACTCCTTTGAAGCATTTTATGGCTTGTTTCAGTTTACGTTCCTCATTAGCAAGTTTCTTTCCCTTTTGCATAGTAGTTAGCTGCAAGATGGATGCAACAAAAACTAACTGAAAATTAACTGCAGAATTGAAACAGCTGAAATGGAAGTTACTTTCCTAACTTGACGATTGGATATTAATGCAATGAAACCTGAGCTGACGCTGGGAAAAGTTTGCCAACAAGTTGCCGGCTTTTTGATATATTCATTCTAAACAAACCATGTGCTTGATTATTGTTCGTTTTCGTCTAAATTGAAAGAGAATTTAATAGTTTGTTTAATTAAAATAACAAACTTTTACAATTATAATATAAACTGTTTCATAGGCAATGGCGAATGGATTATTCGTGATAATTTAGAGACTGCTAGGTCCATTACAGTGATCTATACTATGTGCTGGCTATAAAAACGCAAAGTGACATATTTACGAGATCCCGTCAAGTCGTAAAAATCCCAATATTACGTATTTGTTTTTACAGTTCAGGAATATGTGCTCAACAACAGCGAGTTTTGAGAGTGGGATTACACAACTGAACTTCCAAAAAATCAACCCAAAAACCTTGTGTAGACCATTGGAACTATTTCGGTAGCAGGTTTGCCCACTAATGAGCCATTTTAAAATACTTAATTAACCTTCTATTCAGCAGCATAATACTGAATATTGAAAAAATTATAGTACATTATCTACATGAAGTAGACCTAATTGTAGTGTGATTAAAACATTGAAATATATGCTGTTTAAGGGCGGTTGAGATAAACTCTATGCTTGAAAGCTCGTTGAATCAAGTACGAAACAAATCAGCGCCATAAACATTAGTCTGGTTCAAACCCGTCAAAACATCGGGCTCTAAATCTAATGTGGCTCAAATAAAACCATTTGGATTAAAGCAATATCTGTAGCATGAAAATATCATTGGATGGACAGAATGAGTTTGGGCTTTTGATGCTTTTTTGTTTGCTAAAACCTGAGAGGAAAAAAGTTGAAAATTCAACGGTTTTTCCCATGGTTTCCGGTCAAACCAAATCAACTTAATAAGCATGAGAAATTTAAATGAGCCCGAAAGTCCATAACTCTTAATATGGGATATTTTTTAATGGCCTGAACCATAACGGCCCGCATATTCCAAAAGACATTAATTTTAAAAATTAGCCGGTGTCTATAAAAACTATAAAATTAACTGAGACATGGTAATGAAACTGTGGTTGATTTCCCTTGTTGAAAATTGGCCTGGTCCTAAATTAATAACGCAATTAAAATAAAGCTTTCGAGTGTAAAATTTGCACTATTATATGAATTTGAAATTAGTGATTTCAATTTACAGCCCCCATTTTGCCAATTGCATGCTAATCAATTTTAATGATAATTAATTCGGATTGAATAAATCATTGTTACTGAACCAAAAATCATGTACGTATTTTCCAAACATAACTTTTGTCTGAAAGATAAATAGACCTGGTTCAATTGCCATAACAATTCAATTCACACAAATACATAAAATATGATCAGTTGCCCGCTAAATCATCCTACAAATCTGAAACAAATTTTACTCTCCATCGTGCGTTTGCCATATAGATAATGCCTAATGAGGATACGTAAATTACATGGAAAAACATGTTAATTTCCGCATATCATCAAATATCTGTATGCAGGAGGTGTAATTTTATGGTGGAACAAACCTATTAATTATTAGCGAGACTTTCAAATGCCCGTTTTGTACAAAAATATCGAGTTAACCATTTGTAGTAAATCCTGATCTATGGAAGATTAAGCTCAGTTAATTCCTCTAATCCTTTGAATTTCTGCACAATTGACCTTTAGATTCCATTGTCTCAGCTCGAAAAGGACCTTCACTCGGAAAATAAATTGAAGCATTTGTTCAGAATGTCAATATTTAAGCACTTGAATTGCGGATTATTATCCACTTAGCACCCTGCTGGAGTTTTCTTGTTTTTGTAAATTTTAGGGAACTAATTATTTTAGAAGGCGAGGAAAATTTTATCTGGAAGCTCATCAGCAAGCTAACATTTATTCACCAGGGACTAAAGTGTATAATAAACATCCTTTATAGACCCGAAATTGACTAGATCAAAGTTCGAAAAACACGAAGAGCTATCAAAATAGAAGTTCGGGAAAGTTTGAGGGCGAGCAGTTACCTGCTATTTGGGCAAAGTTTGCGGAAGATGAACCACCTACTCCAATATTTAGTTGCCGTAATTTCATTAAAACTTCTGCTTGTAATAAGCTATCTAACTATCGAGGTTAACAAAGCGAAATCCAATTAAATTCGATGGAAATTACATTGTAGCAGCGCAAACTATAAAACACTCAAACGTGTGGGTAAAATGTTAATAGAATATTCATTGCTCTATGGATCTAGAGCTTTTAAAAGTATACTCAGCTCAACCGATGAGATCATTTGGATAGTAAAATTGGGAAAAATTTTTTTGGGTAACAATGTCGAATGAAGCATTTTATTGATGTCAATGGATGTGACCAAAAAGTAATTAAAGGCAAAATGATTTTTCAAAGGCTTAGGAAGTTTTCAGAGATCGAATTAGTAGTGCACCAAGTGTAGTTTTTAGAAAAAAAATTCGGAAAAAATGTAGGTATTTTAAGTTTGCAACAAAATCGACAAACGTTAAAAAATTCCCAAATTCTTGGTGGTACCCGATGTTATAAGTTCCGTGCCAACCCCTCAAGTTATACCTTTTAATATCGTAAGGACGACAATCCAAAGCAAGCTGTGTCCCACTGTGAAAGCCCCCATTTTGTCTCTGGCACTTGAAGTGTACGTGAAAAAAACTATCATTAAACAATAGCACCAAACAATGCAAAGTGGCTTCACGACCACACACTTTGTCTTTACGAAAAAGCACAGTCACAAAAGTTGCGAATGTTTTTTTTCTAGTCTATGGTTGGCTGAACCAAACCCTCTTTGCACCTCGCACCCTGAGAAAGTTCGAACATAAATCAAGCAAAGTTTCGATTGAACAAAAATTGTTAGAAAATTACCAACTAGCGCAAGTTTTGCGCAACAAAGCACGCGACTTTGCGTTGCGTTCTCTACAGAGCAGTTCACTAGAGAAGCTGAAAAAAACTTGAACGAGCGTTCGCCGAAGACTGGCATGAATCCACAGAGTTTGGCGCCAGAGCAACAGTTTTAGAGCCTGCGCCCACCATTCTGGAAACGGAGTTAGAGCTTCATATTTTGTCACTCTGTTAAGTGGCTGTTTTGTTGCTGAATGACTTTGCAATCACCCTTGGTATATTTGTGGTGGCTGATATATGGGTTTTTAATTGGGCCTCTGGGACAACACTCCAGCTAGATAATGGAATTTGTGTGTTTGGTAGCGAGAAAAAGAACCAGGATGCTTCAAACTAAATATAGTTTTCCTCCAGCTTTTCCAAATCGCAATTTATCTCGCAAAGGATAAGTCAATATTGTTGTCCAGCTTCAGATCATTAATCGAATAAGTCTTCGGTTTGAGCCAGAGAATGGCGCATCTTCGACAGTAAATGGAATACATTTTGCTAATTTTAATTGCTGTTCAACTACCGAAACCCCATTTTCAATCAACGCGTTATGAGAAGTTATTGAAATTATCAGGATTATGACGGACCTTTAAATGGCAACTGTGTTTATTTTTAATTGTTTTTATTATATTTTAGGTATAATTTCCTGAAACAATAGAAACAACGCAAAATTGTCACATATTTTATATTTGTTTAAAGTTTTGCAGGCTGAACGGAAACGCTCGAATTATGAATTAGCTTGACGATGTGACCTCTGAGTGTTAAGAAATATCAGAGAATTTTGTTAGCATGCAGAATAATTAGACTTTAGTAAAAGAATTATTAGACTTTCGCTGCCATTGCTTGACAATTTTCATTTGCGAATGAAATTAAATTATCCGTTAAGTGTAAGTGATTTTTTTTGCAATTTAATAACAGTGCGTACTAGGTGGAAAAACGTTACTGGAAATCCAACTTTAAGAAAAATATAATTTAATCACGAAAACACTGGAAATGGTGAAATTGAGATGCAGTTTAGCGATTGAAAATGGGATTTTTGCGATTTGCGGCGAAACCTGACCTAGAGGAAAAAGTTCAATGTAAAAGTTGTAGATAATAAAAAATCGAAAACTTTCAACGCCTAAACTGCATTTCACCATTTCCAGTGTTTAAATTTGATTTTTTCTTAAAGTTGGATAGGTAACAAAATTATGCAGCCTTGCCATTCCACCAGCCGATTTCGGAAATATCGTTAGAAAAGCGAATATTAAGAACACTTGTCTGGTTGCTTCTAAAAACGTTAATTTCTTTCTACTATCTATATTTCTACTATAAATCTTCCTTTTAACTTTAAAAATCTATTCCAGATATTTCCGATTGCCAGAAAAGCTTGAATGGCCTGTTCTTGATCCTCATCTAAGTACTCCCCTTAAACTCTCGATGCGCTTGTTTCTATTAGAAAGTTTACGGTTTTATCAGTGAAACTTCCCATTGGCAAGCTGATATCGGTGAATCTAATAATGTGGCCAATACTGCAATTACTTCGACCCCTGTCCATTTAATTTTACTACCGATGTGACGGCCACTAAAATCGCTTATGGGGTGCAGATGCATGGTTTCGCTCATTGCAAATCGAATTAAAAACGCAATGAACGGCCCTGAGCCATCAAAAGCGACAAAAAGCCAGTAAATTCTTTGTATCTGCCAATTTAATTTAGTTGGGCTTTATTGCTTTTTAACTGGGCATTGTTTCGCCTCATTCGCAATCATATTCTCCAAGCTTGTTATGATTTTACTACTGATATCTAGTCGATGCATTATTGCTGTTATTCAACTACATTGAATGTTTCACTTTTCCCATCAGACCATAGGTAGATACGTGTTCGGTAACTGATTCGAATTATCAACGCACATAAACAATGGAGCATAATTAATATTCAAACTATATTAGAGCAACAATGGCTCTTTCTATTTGGCATTGTTTCATTTAGCGATCGTTAATATCGTGCCAATGCACCGCAAAAACTGTTTAATAAAGGGCTTATTGTCCATTATGGTTTTAATTGTCGGTACACCACCAGCATGTGCTAGGTGAGTTCTTTGTTCTCGCCAATTTCGATATTTAGTAGGACTTACTAAAGCATATAAAACGTATGAAATTATGGGCACGCTCTCGACGCCACAGAACTCATCGGTTCGCAAATATTACAAAATGCAACAAATCAGAAGCGCAAATGATGAATTGAAATTCACACATAACATATTAAATTCAGCTCAAATTATTTTAGATTTTGCAAGTGAAAGTCCATAGAAAAATGTTTGTTGTAACTATTGAACGCAAGTTTAACCGACAATGCTTGCGAGAGTTTTCTGCAAATAGTGATGGTTTTTTAAAGGTCTTTTCACAAAGAATTGAATTGACAAATCCATTTCGTGATCAATTAAAAGTTTTTGTATCTGGTATTTTTTCGTTTGTGTGGTCAATGTGGTCATGGCTATTTTACAGTCAAAACATCTAACCAAGGATTTTTTTTATTGAGTTTTTGAGTTTAGCGCTTTTTTTCATTCCGTTTTCACTCAGGTTCCCCATTTCTTGAAATGCTCTTATTTCCGTTTAAAGTTTTTCTCTCTAGTTTGTGCCTTTGCACCCTTCACAATCTTTTGAGGAGTTGATTTCGTTGGGAATTCGAATTTCAAATTTTTGAAGCTCACAAATAGTATTCTTCCTCTAAAATGTTTTTGTTAATACTTGACCTCGTAGGCGGCAACCAATTTGAGTTGCCGGCACGCTTATTAATACTTGAGCAGGCCTGTAGGACTCGGGATGACGATTTTCTTGTTCTTTTTTATTCACTTGATAAGAATTTAAAATATTTTAAATTTTGTTAAGAGTTAAATGAACCGTGGGAAAAAAATTGGTGCTGAATAATTATTTCTAAAACTTTTTGCTCTGAATCTATATCCCTTAAAAGGGCTTCCATTTCATCGCTTAATGAAGAACCAGATGATTTCGTTTACATATCGTGTTGGTAAGTCCATAACGACTTTAAATATGCTTTTGCTCTTTCGACTTGATTGTTCAGTTCAGACCTTAACAGTGTGTAAATTGAAAATATAATATCAATTCGGTTCCGGTTCCGTTCCGGTTGTGGGTTCATATCGATTCCGGTTCGAGTCCCTGCCTCTTACACTAAACATGTATTTCAAAGTAGGTATTACAATTAAACGCTTAATTTTTTGCCCAAAATACATCACAAATTCGAAAAGAAACTGAAGGAACTTTTCGTTGGGAGATGGTTAAGAGCGCCTGGTTAAAAGTTTAGGGTCAATCGCTCTGTATACTTTCATGACTATTATGGCACTCTTGAATAAAAAATTGGGCTTTATTTACTACCGAGTGAATATTGGCAAACTAGAAACTAATTTTGCTTTACTGAGTGTGCAAAAATCCTTGACTTTTAATAGCGTGTCTGGAAAGCAGCTCGAAATGGTTCGGGCCTGAAATAAGGGGACAGCACTTAAGCTAGCACTTAAAGCAATCGACGTCTTTTAATAATTTAAAGCCTCTTTAATGAAGGAAAAGGGTTTTCGGCATGAATTAAACAAGTTCAAATATTTGCCGAAGATCTAAAACTTTTCTTAATTTAAGTCGGTCCCGATCCCTGGAGTTTTGGAACGGGTTGAATGAGGCTCCCATTCTACCACGACGTTTCACGCAATTAATCCGTTTCATGCAAGTAGTAGTTTTATTTGGAAATCGAACAGAACGATAATACTCAAAACGACCCCTACGGTAATAGTAGCCGGATGACTTCTAGGTAATTTTATCGCAATATTTTCGTTTTATCTGAGAATTCCATGTGTAGATATAATAAGTGCCTAGTTAATGGGCTGATGCGTCTGACAACCCCAAATTACGCGGGCCTAGATGTGCTTTGATAGTAGGGGAAACCGAGGGAGAATTGTTTTTCACGCTACATTTCTGTAAATGTTTTATTTATCGTTTGGTCAGTTTCATGCAAGTCAGGAAACAGTGAGGTCGTTATGAAGCTGTTCGTTTCCTCTGGGGAAAAAAATTGTAGCATATTGAAGGCTAAAGAGCGAACGCTGCTGATCTTAGCAAGAAGGATTTCAATTTTCAATTTTATTGCAAATGGTACAAAATTCGAGCACCGTCAATGGCAAATTCCTGACTTCGTCTAAACTCACTTACAATACATGAAAGTTGCATGCTGGAGACTCAACAATGTTAACATCGTATTAGTTCCAGGGAGCCGATATTGAACCTGCGGCCATAATATGATATGCAAACATCCAGAGCCACTATATGCTTTCAGTGCAACTGCCAACGTCGAACAATTTAATGAAATTTACTTGTTGTACACAACTATTCGATGTTTGAACTATAAGCAAATTTAAGTTTAATTTTGGTTGCAGTGCAACTAGAGAGCACCGAACTTTTCACGGCCTCAAAAAGTGAAATGCAGAGACGAATGGATCTCATTTGTTCCTAACTGCGCTGTGAAGATTCATATTAAGTCATATTGGTTGAAATGATCTTTATTGCTGCTGAACTGGAGTACCTTTTACGAATTTGGTAAAGCTTGAAGTTTTTGCTTTGTTTTCTCAAGATAGGCTCCGATAGAATCCGAGAAAACGTAAAAAATTTGCGAAAAAACCGATATCAAGTAGTATATCTTCTAGGAAAAGTTTAAAAATTGGTTTTATTCCAAATGTTTCCTCTTCTTGCCTTGATCACGATTTATGCCTTGACGTTTTCTTTTAATTTTTGATGAACTATGAAATCTGTACAAAGCGAAAATAGACGGAGCACATCATAAAAAGCAGTATCAGCCAGTGAGGCTCGTGGTGGATTAAAAATCGAAACTGGCACAGAGCAGGAAGGAAAAATATTTGCGACTGATAACAGAAGCATAATTGCTGCAAAATCCATTGCTTCAATTAAGACCGCCAACATTTTCCAAAAAACGGCCTTTCCAGGAGAAGCTGCCTTCGAGTTAACTAGTGTAAAATTCTGTGCAAAAAACTGGTTTGTTTCAATTCTTAACCGCTCTGATTCCTGGTAGAAGAAGATTGAAAAAACATTGAACCT